CCCTCTGAAACATCGTCCCCTCTGAAACATCGTCCCCTCTGAAACATCGTCCCCTTTGAAACATTGTCCCCTCAGAAACATTGTCCCCTTCAGAAATGTCATCCTCTCTGAAACATTGTCCCTCCTGTTTGAGTCAAACAGGACTGTTTTCCTCATATCTAAACTGGACAATATGATGACGTCTTCAGATCCTTTTTTGTCCCTGCTGTCATAATTTGTGTTCGTCTGTCCATCGGTCTGGTTCTGTTTCAGAACTGAACCAGACTCTGAGCACCGGAGCTCAGCCTCAGAGACAGCAGCTGTTTGTGTTTTGGACCAAACTGTGATGGTTCTGTAGCCAGCGTGGACGGGCTGGGACAGTAAACAGGACTTTAAATAACAACCCATTAGCCCTGGAGCTAATGTCCTCGTCTCCTTCTGCTTACATGCTCACGCAGTCTGCAAACATCCACCGGGGACAAAGAGTTTCCATCAGCACCCAGGCTGGCCCGGTCCAAACGCCGCAGACAGGAAACGGCATAGTGGAAAGACACCTGAAGTGTCTTCTAAAGGGACTTTGGGAGATGATTCAAAGCTGAACTCTGATCAGGTTCTTCTTGAAACCAGTCAGATGTTGAGGTGGAACCACTCCGCTACAGCTCAGACAAAACAAATTCTACGTCTTATTTTCTTCAGTTCACACCTCCGGGACGTCTGTGGCGCAGGAAGGAGGCGCTCCGGGAGTTTAACGGACGTTGCTCTGAACATTTTGAGTTTCCGTCACCAGGTTTATTTTTTGGGACGCTCGGATCATAAAAACCGTTTCTTTCTGTTCCTCAGCTCGACTCCGTCCTGCTTTCAGCACACGGGGCTCAGTGGACGTCCGGTCACTTTATAAAGAGTTAGGAAACAGCAATAATTTGTTTTATGAGTTTTAAGGATTTCAGTGAATCAGAATTAAAGCACATTTATGATTCTGTTGGTTTCTTCTTGTTTCTTCTGTTTCCTGCATGATTTTTATCTCCTGCAGCTTTAAAATTAGGACCGAGAGCACTTTATTTAAATCACAGTTCAAGCTGGAGGATTCTGGGCGCAGACGTTTGATGTCACATTTCAATCTAGTTTTCAAAAACTTTATTTCTATTTACTCCCACACTTCCCCGTCCAATCATAGATGTTTCTTTCTTCCACCCAGAGTGTCTCTGCTGCAGGACGGATGTGTCCTCTCAGAGGTCAGAGGTCAAACTCTCACTGACTTCCATCATATCTGAGCTCAGAGGTTTTCTTTCTGACAGGAAGTGAAGGCCCTGCCATGAAGCCCCGCAGAACCATCAAACAGGATGTAGTCAGAGCGTGGGCAGGAAACAGGAAGAGAACTGAACCTGCAGTTTCAAAATAAGATATATGATGCTCCTTCAAAATAAGAGTCAGGTTAGATTCCTAATGTTGATCAAAACCCACTGGGGGTTCTAAAACATGTTTATGTTTTGTCAACTTTAAATAACATTTAAACTTAACTGCAGGTGGAAGATTTTCTGTAGTTTTTCCAGTAAAAATGAATTCTCCGATAATAAAATCAGTTTAGAGGTGGTGGTTGCGATTATATTCTTTAGTGATTGCCATATTTCTAATTTAATCACAAGTTTTCGTTTTGATAATCGTAAAATAAATCCCAGCTTCCTGCTGGTCTTAGGACCTCTGATGGAAACGTTCCAGTTTGTGTTCGTGATGTAGAATCTGGGATTCTTGTCCTTGTTTCTGCTCCGCACCACCTGGCCGCTCTGCACCAGCCGAACATCGGCTTCTCTTTTTTTAGTTCAGGTAGCTATTCCTGGCCCTCTGTACCACAGCCCCCCCACCACCACCACCCCGGTCCTGATCCCCCCCCCTCCTCCCCCAGCAGAGGAGCTGCCTGGACCTGGAAGCTCTCAGACCCAGATCTGTCTGTGAGCGGGGCCGCAGTGCTCACTGCGTCGTGTTCCCAGCAGCAGATAATTGATGCACCAAACGTCTCAGAGCTTCTGCAGTCAGCTGCACTGTTGGAGGCCATGGACAGGAAGTGGGGCAGAACTGTTGGATCACCTGGGGGGGGAGGGGGGGGGACGTGGGAAAGTGGGTTAGATTCCAGACCCTTTCCTACATCTCGTTCTGTATTTTCTTCTGTAAAACTTGTCTTTTAGCTGCTGTGTTTGTGAGCCCACTGGCAACGGAAAAACAAGTTAACTGGCTTTTATTTGCCCCCACCCCCATGTTTGATTTTATTTTTTTGATTGGTTGAACGTTCATCTCGTTTATTAACTCCATCCCCTCTCTGAGCTCGTTTCGTAGGTCTGGTTTCAGGATCGTCTCCTGAGTTTGTTTCATGTGAAAACAAAATAAAAATTCACGTAAAACGAGTTATTTTTATTCCACAAATCACCTCCGTTACTTTTTTTTTATTTTTTTTTTTTTACAGGTTAAAGCAGAATAAAGCTCTTCTGTTCTGAAAGCAAAATTTCTGGAACCGAGCAGAAGTTTAACAACATCGTATTACTCTAAAGTTGACTGATTTGTAATAAAGCTGCGTTAAACAGACCCGTGGTTCTGATCTGGACCCGGGTAAACATGTTCCGTTATTAAAAGACTCCGTCTACTTGCACATGTTGGCCTTAATATATTTTTGTTGCTCTATTCTTCTAAAAGTTATTTGTGACACATGAAAACTAATTTCTTAAAACATTACTTTTAAAAACATTTTTCATCTAAAGAAACCACTATTTTACCGGAACAGTGCATTATAGGGCAATGGCGTACATCGGTTGTAGTGGAGACAAAAGCACAAGAAGTCGAGGCTACAAAGATACGAGACAATAAATCTGAGCAGGTGGAGTCCGGTCCTCTGGATGGATTCTTCTTGTTGAAAAGTTTCTTCTTTTATCCACATATCTTCATTCTTTTAGTTGATTTTATCACAGATTTTAGTTGATTTTATCATTGATTTTAGTTGCACTCTGTAGCACTTTGAGATTTTTGTTAATGAAAAGTGCGTTACAAATTAAATTCATTATTATTATTATTATTATTCTGAGGAGCTGCAACAAACTTTTTGCTGCTCAAACGTACCCATCACTTCCTTATCCCCTCTGTTTCCTTCCCCAACATGTCCATTCAGGTCTTCGCCAATCCCCACTCTATCCTTCCTGGGAATACTCTCTATCGCTTCATCCCGATCCTTCCTAAATTTATCTTTCTCCTTCCCATCACGTCCAACCTGTGGAGCATAACCACTGATGACATTTAGCATCAGACCTTCTACTTCTATCTTAAGACACATGATCCTATCTGACACACTTTTCACCTCTACTACATTCTTTGCCAACTCCTCCTTCAGGACCACCCCTACTCCGTTTCTCTTTCTATCCACATCATGGTAAAACATTTTAAACCCTGCTCCAATGCTGCCCTTCCACCTGGTCTCTTGGACACATAAAACATCTACCTTCCTTCCCAGCATCATGTCAGCCAGGTCCATACCTTTGCCTGTCATTGTCCCCACATTTAGAGTTGCCACCCTCAGTCCTACATTCTTGACTTTCCTTTTCTCCCTTTGACTGCCGCTTGCAGTCCTGACTTGTCCTCATGCAAGACAAACCAAAAATGTAATGAGGACGACTTGTCCTCAGTCAAGATGGACGGTGTCTCCTCTTATGTCTCACTGGTCAAAATAAAAGACGAAATGTTTTTTTAAGAGCAGACATGTTGTATTTATGGATTGACGTGTACATATCCTTGACAAAAAGTCCCGCCTCCACACTTTCCTAACTCGCTAACAGGCTGTCAATCAAAGTGTAACATTTTTCCTAAAGCCTCTACTAATTTAACCTAAACTTATTTTAAAAAATGCATATTTGAGAAAAAAAAAATCAGAAATGTAAGAGCTACATAAATAAACACACACAAACACCTAAAAAATTATCAGGTTTATTTTTGTTTCTTAGTCAGAAAATGTCCTGTTTAAATGGAGGGGCGGAGCTTATCGTCCTTTAAGGCTTCAACTTCCAGCTTCCAGCCTTGTTTCTAAATTAAATTATTCTGAACTCACATTTGAAGACAGAAATCATCAGAAACTTTATCAGGTTTACATTGAATGTTTTTAACTCATCAAATCCGTTCTTTATAATTTATTTACAGAAAACCCAGACGAGGATTTACTAAAACTCTTATAAAGCTGCACATTTTTCATTTGTTGCTCTGAAACTCTTTAGGTTTGATGCTTTAAATTAATTTGAACATTTGTGACTTTTCCCATCATGCCTCATTTTATACGTGAAGAAAAAAAAAAACTGCAGGAAAAGTTTCCTGTGGCACAGTTCCTCACAACTGGGTCGGTTTGTTTGTGTCCTTCCTCAGAACCTGTCAGAACCAGCAGGGAATAAAAGCTGCAGGTCCACACAGCGGCTTCAAACCACACTTTATTTGGATTTACAAAAATTCACATCTGAACCTGTTTTTAAAGAGAAACTGACTGTTTGGTTTGAGTGATCCTTGTGCTTCAGATCAGCTGAACAGAACTAACAAAGAACCGTCAGGTTCTGGACCCGAATGTCTGCTGGATCTGTTTTTAATTTATGTGATCAGGTTTAAATGTGTCAGCGTTAACAGCATTTATGGAGCCCTGACAGTTCTGTGAAGTGTTTCCGGACCTGGTTTCTCTGTCCTGGGTCTCTCAGTTCGGTTCTGTGGGTCACAGGGAACAGATTAAGACAATTCAATTCAAAAATACTTTATTAATCCCAGAGGGAAATTAAATGTGGTTGTAACTCGTCATCCTGGTTTCATTAATGAAGACAATTAAGACAATTTAGTCGATCAGATTTTTATCAAATTATTTTTAGGAACAATTTGCCAGTTTCATCTTTTTTTCCCGAACACAGAATCTTGTCTAGAATGAATATTTCTCTAAAGCATGAAAACCTCCCGCTGCAACGCCGATGTGCTGACATGACTCTCAGCTACTACCACCCCAGATTTTAGATATCTGTAAATTGACCTGAATTATTGACTGTTTGAAGTTGACTTAGGCTGATTTTAAATCAGCGACGGCAGGTGAACGAGGGCTCCTTCACTGTATTTTTATTTTTAATCAGAAAAACGTCTTACTGGTTTACATGGAGGGGGCGGGGCTTAAAACAGACGACCTTCTTAGGCCACTCCGCCTTTGTAGCTTCAACTTCCACGTTCCACTCCTGTTTCTAGTTATGTGTTGACGTCAGGGTGAAGGAGCCTCTTTCACTCTGACGTCAACACATAACTAGAAACAGGAGTGGAACGTGGAAGTTGAAGCCACAAAGAACAAGTGCTCTAAGATTGCTGTCTGTTTTAAGCCCCGCCCCCTCCATGTAAACCAGTACATTTTTCTGATTAAAAATAAAAATACACTTCAGATCAGTTTATTATTTGCTGTATTTTTGTTGATTCTTTCTGCTTTTTGTTTAAGCAAGCTTTTTAAAAATTATTTTTAGTTTGAATTCATTATTTGATGTTTAAAGCGTTGCGGTGATTGACAGCCTGTTAGCAAGTCTGGCAGGTGCAGAGGCGGGACTTCTGTATCGAGGGCTCCGCCCCTCATCTTTGGTGACAACTAACAGCTAAAAGCAGAAGATTTAAAAGAAAATAAAAAGAAAACATGTCAGGTAAAAGCCGAAAATGCAAGTTATAATCTAAAAGTAGCTACAATTAAATGGATTATTGTTGTTTTGGAACATCAGCAGAACCTCAGTTTAAAATGTTGGAACCATCTCTTTATTTTAAGAAAATCATAAAATAAAATAAAAACGTACGTTTAAAAATGAAGGTAAAACTTGTTAAGGATTTATCGAATGTCAGGGAATTTTACTCGTGCGTGTGCGCGTGCACCGACCCTCCGCGCGCCTCCTCAGCTGACAGGCGCGTCCATGTCAGCTCGTGCAGCCGTCCGAACCGCTTCCTGGTCCGGGTTTTTACAAAATGACATCAGGATCGAACCGGACCTCCTGAACCAGAACCTCCCTCTGCATCTCTGCAGTACCGGGTCCGAACTTTTTACCCCTCCGGGGGAGGGGCAGAAACTCCAGCGGTTCTGTTAGGTTCGGAAGCTGGGAGGAGGAGGATGGAGATGTCTCCGGGTATCCGACACCGGAACCGAGCGATGCTGGAGCAGAGGAGGGTCAGAACCAGGCTGAAAAGGCGAAAGGAGCTGGTTCTGATCCAGATGTGTGTGTTCGGAGGCTTGGTGCTGCTCGTGAAGGGAGGTTCCGTCCTGCTGGAGGGTCCAGGTGAGTTTCTGATTCAAGCTCATCTGAACAGGCTCGGTTCTGTTCTGACCCGACTGCCACATCAGTTTGGGTCAGAACTCAGTGCTCGAACAGAACCAGGCTTGGTTCTGTTCCTTGCGGTGTTTGGGTCAGGGTTCTGTGCAAAGACATCAGGAGCCCTGAGGTCAAACTCGGATCACCAGCAGAACCATCATTCAGAGTTTAACTGGGTCAAAGGACTGAACTGTTTCCAGAACTTTGACTCTGACAGAACCGAACTCTCACTGACTTCCAGTGAGCTCACAGAAGGTTCTGTTCAACTTCTCCTCCATCAGGACCATCAAACAGAACCTGTGGTTCCATCATAACGGGTCAAAAAGTTCTAGTTTTCACACACAGGTTGTTTATCTGAGGGTTACTTTTTACTCTGTAATTCTGCCTGTCTGTTCTTGAAATTGCCTGTTTTGTGAGCTCAGATGCAGCAAGTTTCTGTTTCAGAGAAGGAGCAGGTGGACGTTGGAGCGTGGACTCTGTCTCTTATAGGACCAGGTGTTGGAGGTTTTGGAGGACCTGAAGAGACCAGGTGTTGGAGGTTTTGGAGTGGTCTGGTCTAATGGAAGACTCTCAGTCCTGGATCTTCTCTGGGAGCAGATGCTCTAAAACCTGTAGATACTTTTGATCAACTTTTCTTGTTTTTATGTTCTATATCAATAATTTGACATTTTCTGCTTTGATGCCAAAGGCACTAATGCACCCCCATACCATCAGAGAGGCCAGACTTAGTATCAGACAGGTTTTGTTTTAGTGACGCCACAGAACCCGTCCAGGTTTGTTTTGCTGCTATGAACCGGAACGGAACGTCCGAGAGCTCCGGCTGATCCAGGAGCTGCACCTGATCATGGACCTCAGAATCTGGTGGGTTCAGAACCTCGGGGAGATCTGTGAGCACTGATCAGAAGGGACTGAAGGTGTCGGGGTGTCATCACAGAGCACTGCGACCACATTATCGCCTGCCTCCGTGACAAACGGGCAATCACTGTTTCTCTGTTAGCAAAATATCTCACGAACCAGTGGAGGTGGAGTTTAGAACTGATCTTTTAGAGTCAGTCCAATTCAAGATGGCCGCCTCACCTAATCAACACCTGTAAGTCGGTCAGGTTTACAGATGCTGGTGTGGTATTAGCTGACAGTCCTCCCCTTTAACTTTAGTGATCAGAACCGGTCCTGCAGAACCTGCTGATAAAGACCCGTTTAAGGGATCCGGATCATTTACATCAATCAGTGTTTGATCTTTTATTAAAATTAATTTTTTGTGGGGAGAAGTTCGATTTCTTTTTTTTTAATCATCTCTTTCTGTGACAAACACCTTCCAGGTTCTGATGGGTCGATGGCGGGCCAGGAGCTGCGAGTGGGCCGGAGGCTGCTGCAGGATGTGGACAACGGCAGCCTGGAGACGAACGAGACGAAGGAAGGATCCAAAAACTGCACGGCTCCAGGTGAGACCGGCGTTTCAGAACCTCGGCTCTTTTTCCTGCTCCAGAACAGCAGGCGCAACTCCTCCTCGGCCCGCCGGGCTGGTCTCCCTGACCCAGACCACGTGGTCATGTGATCGCAGGTCTGCAGCAGACCCGATCCTCCGTCAGGTTTTTACTCACCTCGTTCGTCGGTTCTCGTCGCCGGGCTTCTTCCCCTCCATGGTTTCCAAACAAAGGCTCGTTTCCATGGCAACCTTTTCATCTCATCACCAAGCGGCTTCGGTTTGAGCCTCTGACAGGAAGCTGAAAGAATCCTAAAGTTTAGGAGGACTTCTGAGGGTTCTGTGGATCAGCAGGAGATCAGAGGCCGTCAGACGTTTCAGGAGCTCCTCCAGATGATGATGATGATGGTGGTTGCTGAATGAATGAATCTGCTGGTCCATGAGCTCTGAAGCTGCCTGGTTACACTCATCAGCCTTTTGTGTCATCACGTTTGATTCTTATCTCCTTCCTCAGTCTTAAGGGCTTTTAGTTGCAGCTCATTCTGCGACAAAAACAAAATGGAAGAAGAGTTTTGTCAGCTGGTATCTCTGCTTTAAAATACAAACGCCACATTTTACTGCGTTTTGTTTCCGTTGCGTGAGGTCTGAACCGTAGCCGAGTCGGACGGTAAAGTATAAATAACCACAAAAACAGTTCAGTGAAAAGTCCGAACAGACCGGTCCGTCGTTACGGCCGTTCAATAATCACAGACGGAGCTTTCAGAAATGATACGAGCTTCGAGGAACAAGTAGAGGCGCCGAGCAGAACTCAGCTGGGTTAATGTGGAGCGTTAAATGTGTGACGGATGTCTCTCTTTTTTTTTGTTTTCCTCTTTCGGCTGCTCCCTCCTTCAGGGGGCGCCACAGTGAGTGAGATGGCACAAAGATTTGGTCATTGTTTTACATCGGATGCCCTTCCTGTCGTAACCGCAGCCCACCGAGCTACCACAGCCCTCTGTGTGGAGCAGAGAGCTGCCATCTAGGGTGCCCAGGGGAGCAGATGCTCAAGGGCTCAGAGTGGTGCAAATGAGGGTGGAGGCAGATGTGGGCGCTTCACCTATCCCACCCACATTTTGTTGTAACAGTCAAGGGATTCAAACCCCCAACCTTCTCTAACCTCTGTCACCCCCCCACCCTCAATAAATACAAAGTTTTCACCGATCTTCCCTCTGTAATAAATCTGTTGTTGAATGCTGGACTTGGTGGTCCAGACCTCTGTCCTCACCACATCACGTTACTGAGCTGCAGCATCGGCTGACCTTTTCACAGGTCGACCGTTTCGGCTCTGTTACTACCTCGCTTCACCTCACAAAGGTGGGGCCCCCACTCACCACCTCGGTCCGTTCAGACATCCCATTGAGGAGATCAGGACTCTGAGTCCTGCTTTGAGGGGTTTTGTGAACGTGCCTTTACTTTAAATCTCCGGTTAAGAAATCATTACAAAAACAAACAAACAAATAAACAAAAATCCAAGAAGTGCTTTCTTTAAATAATTTAAGTTGGATTTGATGCAAAACAAAAGCATCTGACATTTTTACATTTACTTCATCAACTCCAGTCGTTTGGTCCTTTACATCTGCTTTTATTTACATTTGCATACAAATGTAATTATAAATGAGTTGCGTTGATATTTTAGTTTGTGGTGTGTAATGTTGATGCGTGTCAGAATGACAGCAGAGCAGCTGAAACAGGTAGATCTGAACTCTGTTTGGACCCAGTCTGAATCCACGACAACTGCTGATAAAAGTGAACGCAAAGATAAAACAGCAAACTTAAGAATAATTTCTAATAGATTTTTGTTGGATAAGGAGGCCATACTCGGTATTAGTAGTAGAAGACCACGAGGAGGGAAACATGTCAGGAGACAGAGGGAGAAGAGTAAAAAGAATGTAGGACTGAGGGTGGCAACTTTAATGTGGGCACAATGACGGGCAAAGGTAGAGAGCTAGCTGAGATGATGTAGAGAAGGACGGTAGAGTGTTGGCTGATATGATGCTGGGAAGGAAGGTAGAGTGTTGGCTGACATGATGCTGGGA